GAGCAGCAGCTTTTCTAAAGACCAACACGCAGATGTTTCTGAGTCCGGAAATATCATACGCTGACTGTCTATTTTGAGTAATTCTCAATAAATGAATTCTACTTGTGATTATAGGGAGGCAACTTTTTTATTCATAACCTCATTACATTTAAAAGGGTAATGGAGCATTTTCTATAGTTTTTATTTTCACTTGGAACTTAAATGTGTATTATATAACTTAGGAAAAATAATTCAGGATCATTTTCATCTCTCTTTGTTCCATTTTACATGTTTATGCTTTTTAGTTCAAATTTCTATTTGAGCAGGTTTTTAAAAGACAATGTGCAACTAATTTTTATTTTGTATCTAGGTGCCTATTTCAAATGTACCTAATCAGAAACTTGCCTTAAAAATTAGTAGTGACAGGAAGTCAGAAATATGTGCTATCCATTGGGGAAAAACACAAGAAATTAAATGAGCAACTGTACCATGTGAAATGAATTTTGAAAGTCTATGTTTAGAGAAGTTGGATCTTCTATTAATCTACAGCTGTGGTTCTAAAATGTGCTGCATGTCAGAATAAACTGGGGGTGGCCTGTCATGAACTGCAGGTCCCCAGGCCCCTCACAGGAATGACTGTTCGGTCACCAGGGGTGGGGTCTCCCACTCTAAAGCTTTAAAAGTCACTTACGCTTGGAAACCTGGTCTGCAGAAGGCTCTGCTTATATAATGACTTTTTTTTGTTACTATTTTATTTTATTTTTAAATCCTCACCCAAGGATATTTTGTTTATTATTGATTTTAGAGAGAGAGGAAGGAAAGAGAGGGAAAAAAGACATTAATATGAGAGAGAAGCATCAATGGGTCAGAAGCACTTCCCATAGGTGCCCTGACCAGGAATCAAACCCTCAACCTACTCCTCATCAGGTACATACCCTGATGGCGAGTAGAACCCACAACCTTTTGGTGTACGGGATGATGCTCAAACCAACTGAGCCACCTGGCCAGGGCTGATTCTGTTTTTGTCTTAATGGAAAATAATTTCAGAATCCCAAAAGTGTCAGTCGCCTGTTCAATTATGTAATACTGTTTTGCAACAAAAATTTTAAATAATATGTGGCTAAATGGTCTGAACAAAGATGGTATCTACTCTTAAAAGTTGATTTTCAGAATACCAGTCACTGCCTACATTCCCTCTATGGATTCTTATTACTTACAGAGGTGGTTTCTGAAATAGGAAGTAAGGTGATACGTCAAAACATCTTATTGGCCTTTCCCAACTAGTCACAGAAACGCTCAGACTCTCTCCTGCTCTCAATTCTGGTACGTGCTCTTGTCCAGTTTTCAGCACCACTGGTCCTCGGGACAAACTCCCAATATGGTAATCACGTCCTACATGTCCTTCCAGATTCTGGAGTAATAGCCCATATATAGACCCTGATCAAACCAAGGAAGACTCCTTTCAGTTCCCTGGATTTACCATGTCCTTGCATGCCTTCATGCCATTGACATATTGTTCGCTGCCCCACATACCCTTCTTCCCCCTCAGCCTGGTAACCTCTCATTCATTCTGTAAGGCTCAGCTCAAACGTCACCTCGTCGTGAGCAGTGCTTCTCAGTCTCCACTGGCAGAGTTCACTGTCCTCCTTTCTGCACTCCCAAAAGGATCTATTTGAGTATTAGCTTGTGACCGTAGTAACTGTCTGTCTCCACATCTCACTCGGATCCCCAGGTTTTGGCACAATTTTGGGCATGGAGTCAAGGCTTAATCATGTTTGCATAATGAGTTAATAACATTAGCTTTCATTTCCCCCATGATTAATGTGTCTCAGACACTATGCTAAGTGCCTTACAAGCACCTTGTGTAATCCTTACAAGGTTTAACAAGTAGCAACGATTATCCACGCCTTAAGCATCAGACAGTCATTTCTTAAGGACAGCAACCATGTGCCAAAATCACACAATGGGTAATGGCAGACCTAGAATTGGAACGCCATGTGAAGCTGACTCTAAGGCAGTGGCCTTATACACTCCACTCTAGTGCTTCCCTGCAAGGGCTCAGGTAGTACTCGATTGCTTATGGCAATGTCTCTTTACCCAGGCACCATCCTTGTAGCTGGAACGTAAAGAGAAAATGGACTTTCCTTTAATTATAAGAATGGTCCAAGGCCCAATTCCAGGGTGCATGTGCCTGTGCACAGGTATATAATCAGTGAAGGACCGTACATAAACATCTATGTGAGATTGTGATAACTGGACTGCTTGGTTTGCAAAATTACAAAAAAAATATTAAAATAACTATTGACCACATCAATGAAAAGTCATCAGCATAAAAAAAAGAAGTCCCCTCTAATGAAAACCTTGCAGAATTTCCCAAATGGCACATGATTTTTAATGGAGTACAGCCACTCTTCGGCATTTCTATTTTATTTCTTAGACAAGAGGAAAATATATTATTTATGCAAAGCGGTAGTGTTTCCAACCACTAACACATGGCCTGTAAAAAATAATAATCCCCTTTTTCTGTTGTGCAACAGCCCTCCATTGGGCAACAACGATATACAATGTGCTAGTTTTCTGTTCCTTTGCTAGAGCCTCCTCCCCTTTCACTTACTGCCCGGGCTAAATAGCTATTCCTTGGGTAATAAAAGTACAATACTGAGTTTCACACTACTTTCAAAAATGTTTCTGCCTGTCTTAAGAAATAATCCTATCAGTTTGCTAATAAGCAGAAATGCACTGTGAGTTGAGTATGTTGTCACATGTGGCTAAAAAACATATATATCAACCTGTGATCAGAAAAAAGAAACAATGTATTTCTTATATGTTCAGAACATTTTGGTTGGCGTCACCCGTCACCGCTGAAAGGTGCTGGACCATCACGAAGAGAACAATGTCAAACACTGAACTATTGGATAATTTCCATAAAAGTTACATTTTGTTTGGGGTCAGTAGTTTCTATGAAACTTTGGAATGATTTTCACCGACAATTTTTTTGGAGTTGAACTTAAACAACTCCAAAATGCTCTCTAAAATAGAAATATTATGTAATCTAACCTCTGCAGCTGGGTTCTTCTGAAAACCAAACACATACCATGAAAACCAACATTTCTCCCTTTTAATTTGTGAAGCTTTATGAAAATTAAAATATACTATATATTCAGCAAGGTAAATTTACTCTTCGGTTTTCTCTGTTCAGTTACCAAGTGCAAGTCAACACTTGTATAGTAATGAAAGCCAATTTGGGGGAAAAACAAGACAAAACAAAACAGAAACAAAACGTGGATTTCTTCCATAGGAATCTTATCAATCCAGCAGCATTCTTTTAAGTGAAAAGAAAAAAATGGAATTGGTGATTCAGTGTACAACTAGTTCGGCCCTAGGCCTAGTAGTCAACTTCAATATATTTTGTGCGTACCTACATATATAGAACAATTTGATATTTGTTTTACAGTGGTCTGAATTCTCATTATTGGTTAACTATCCTTTAAAGTCCAGAATTTGGAGGTGTGTTATGTTGAGCCCAACAAGGCAGGTTTTCATAAAGTAACTGGAAGCTTTTATAAACATAGTCTCAGACAAAGCTGGTTGTGGCAAAAAATCACCAATCCAAGGAGGCTGTATTGGCTGAGTACATGTATGCACTATTAATAATAATGCTCCCTGGGATTCTGAAACCAGAGCTCAAGAAAAGGAAAGCCAAACCACTGAATTCAATATTTGCAGACTATTTCAGGACATGAAAATATTTTGGTTCTCTCATGCAAATCATTTCCCCAAAATACCTTTGTCCAAAATAACATTTTGTAGACAGAGACTAATATCAAATTTTACATGGCTTAGTAGGTGGGCATAGGAATTATCAGAATTTGTTCCATATCAAGGAATGGCTGGTTCCTGGTTTTCACTTATTATGATATTCAAATAATTAGTAATTTCTCATGGGATATGGGTATTAATGGATGTTACTAAACCCATGCTCTCTGAAATTATTTTACACTGTTGACTGTATATGTAAAATGTTTACATGATGGTAAAACATCCAGTTAATTCACTATTTAGAAATAAATTAAAAAAACAATCCATTCCAGGCTCATACACTTTAGTCAAATTACTCTTGTCTAAAATTCCCAGCCATTCTCCAGTGCCAACAGAAGGAAATTCGGTTCTTCACCCTGGCTGCAGTCTACCTCGCAATATGCCTTTCCACACCAAAACCTTTAAAGTCCTGCTGAAGCTTTTTTGTAAAATGCCTCAAAGTACAAATCTGACTTAGTGCAAATCTATGCCTGAAACCCAGTTTGAAGTCAGAGGTTCCTGTGGAATCCAATACATACACAACAACTATCTGCTCATTTGATTGGTGAAGACACCAAGTCCCCACTCTCGTAGCTCATGCTATGAGGTTACTGATGTTATAGTCACCGCAGCTCCTTCATACAAAGAAATGGCCATGGAAATTATTACCAACATGCAAATGTTTGTGTTACAGTGCAGACAGTCATCCTGGTATTACTCATGAGCCATTATTTGCATATTTTAATGCAAATCAATTCTCTTCTAAATAGTAGATGGCACGCAGATATATTGGCAGATCGCAAATATGTAATTGCCATATTGAGAAACTTTTGAACACAAAATAGTGCCTTAATAAGAGCCAGATAACACATACTCATTAACAAATTTCTTATGTGGCAAGAAATCCATTTGAAACTTTCTATTAAATATCCATAAATATCTATCATGTAAAATATTACCAAACATATCAATAAAAGCCCCTGGAGTTTGGAACTATTATCTATTAATTGCTTCAGCATATTTTGTATGTTTCATGTTTCTATTGCTTGAAATATCATATGGACTTAATAAAGAGTAACTGAGTGAATGACTTAAATAGTAAATATTTGGTATCTATGGGTATAGTATGTAAGCTAAGAAAAATGTAACTCATTTTTAAAAATTTAAGATAACCAAATAAACCCTAATTGAATGCATTTTTAAAAGCATATCTTTTATTTCAGGAAAAAAAGGAAGGGAGAGGAAAAGAAAAAAACTTAATAAAGAAGAAAATAAGGACGCAGTACCTGATAACAAAGGTCTGGAACCGAGCAGAGAAACCCCAGAACAACGAGAAAATAAACAGCAGCAGAAGAAGCGAAAGGTCCAGGATAAACAACAGATATCGGTATCCGTCAGCACTGTACATTAGAGGGTCCCGTGAGGTTGTCGTAGACTCGTGATGCTGCTATCTCAACCAGATGCCCAGGACAGGTGCTCTAGCCATTAGGACCACAAATGGACAACGTGTCAGTTACTGCTCAGTCTAAACAACATTCCAAATAGTTGCTATACCTTCATACAAGCATAGTTAACAACACAGAGCCCAAAGTTCAAAGAAGGGATGCTTTCAAATGGTTATCTTACATGCTTCTGTGCATTTTTAAGAGACAAGAAATTTTTTACATAATTATCAATAGGCTATAAGTTGTAACAACCTAAGATGTCATCTGGAGAATCAACATCTTTTCCCTATTAAAACAATATTTTTCAAGCTATTATTTTAAGAAACAAAAGATAGCTCTGCAAATTCAAAGATACCATATCCCTTCAAAACAAACAAGAGATCAGGGGAGAGAAACATCTTTCAAAGGACAGTGTTGTTTTGTCCAGGAGATCTGGAGAGTGCTCAGATGTTAGGGCCTGGCATTTGGAATCAAGAATTCTCACCATAGAAACAACTATTGTTAAGATTGGTCCTGTTGCCCTCATCCCATCTCGCAAGAAGCATGAGAGTGCACATAGAGTTAAATATACTGTATGGGATTGGAGAAAGGCAAAATGTGGAAGAAGCCATAGAGTTGGAGATGACTTGTGTGCTTTACAAAACTGTGAAGGGTTGTGATCACCTGGAACAGGTCTCCAGTCTATGTTGGCACCGTGTGGTTCAGCCTCTGCTGCCCCTTGGGTTATATAAGTCTGTAACACGTACCTGTAACTTGCTTCCAAAAGCAAAACCATACTTATTAGAAGGAAATTGTGATTTCATATAAAACAGAAACTAGAGCAAGGAGAATATAACAGGTTTGCAAAGTCATGTGTTTTCTTTCTCTACGAGGGAGAAACCATTTTATACCTGCTTAATGGTCCACCTGGAACTCAGAGGGATACTACTTTCTAACGAGGTGTATCTAGTAGTGGAGAAAGCCACCACAATAAATATATTTGTTGATAGTTTTAAAAGTTTGGTTCATTTTGTTTTATTGGAAAATTGTTGCTCTTAGAGACTCATGAATTAGGAGAGAACTCTGTATCCTATGTCATTCAGAACATATTACATTTCTCAGCATTTTCTCTTTAAATCTTCTGTGGGATGTAAGCTCATGGAGATTTACTTAAAGGGTATCAGGAGATATTTATTCAACTTATTTCCTTATTTTAATCAACAAAATTCTTACTATAGATGTATAGGCCTCCCTAAATTATTTCACTGTCCCCCTTCACTGCTTAGAAATGAGCTCCTTGATTGTATGTTGCATCTTGAACACTTGGCCTTTTCTTCTCCATATTTTCTCAGTCTGTGGACTTCTTTTGGGGATTGAAGTCACACTAGCTGAAGGCTTCACCAGTGTTTCCTAGAGGACACAGCCAGCCCAGGGCTGTGCACATAATCTCGCGACCCAACTCAAACTTCCTGCTGTAATGGGGGGGGCATGCCGTGTGACTGCTCTGTCCACCACGCCTCCTCACCCTCTAAAGATCGCTGCTTTCTGAAGAGTTTGCAGTGAATTGGGCTTCTGGCTCAATTCTTGTGGTCATTCTTTCTCTACCAACTGCCCTATTTATATGGACTGATTGGCTTACTTCATTTCCACTTCTCTTTTGCTCTTCCAAAATACAAAATTTTTGAATAATGTTTTCCTGTTTCTTATTCTGGTGTTTTCTTAGGCACATGGGAAAAGTATCTCAACTAAGTATATCTATTTCCAATGTATAAAAATAATTCTATCTTCAACTACAACTTACTTACCAAGGATAACCAGGGCTTTTTCTACAGAAGTACATTCGGTGAAAAAGAGAATATTCCCATGTTTTAGAATTTTTTTCTTGGTTTCAACCATCATCTTTGTCCTCGGTCTTACCTAGTCAAGCATAAGTTGCTAAATTATTTTATGTGTATCTTTTCATATTTATCATTGTCTTCATTATTTCAATAAGCAATTCCTGGGAAGGTCTGTGCCTATATATGTAGTGCTGGGAAAGGGTTAAATAAACCAGGACACAACAATTGTCGCACATGACTATCATGTCTTCTCATGCGCTTTGACTCAAGACTTTTACCCTGTGGTCCTCCAGACAATGCAGTACTTAATAAAAAGTAGATGCAGTGTTTAAATAAAAGTAGAATTATTGCAAAGGAAAAAAAATGAAAAGTAACATTGATATTTACAAATTGGGTGAGGTATAAATGCAAACAAAGGTAGCATCAATTTTAACTCCAATTCTCAATCCACCTGTAGTAGATCTTTAGGCACATGGAATTGTTGTAATCTTCATACCAGCAACCTACTCAACTTTGAGAAAAAGCTCACAATCAACTTCTGGTCACAGAAGGCATTTACTTTCTGCTCTGATTCTGTCTCTAAGATCTGGTAAACTGATAGTGGTAAGAGATGGCTGGTCAATTCTTGGTACAAAAAGGATCAAGAGAATACAGCAACATAAATCTATCTGTGTCTGATCCATATTCTGGATCTGGTCCCCATGTTCTGCTTCCTAACTGAGGGGAGGTCTCTGTTCTATCAGCATATTTAGGCTCCCATCCCAGGTGTGATCCACTGGCAGATTGCTAACTCCTCTGGGTCCCCGTTTCTTAAGCACAACATAAAAGAGTTGGGCTGGAGATGATCACTATCATCGCAGTCAGGGGAGGAGGTGACACTCCCGATAGTTCAGGGTGATGCCCCTAATGAGTCCTCATTTGCGAGAGTGTCCTTTGGGATTCCCCAGCCTTGCTTTTCCCAACCGTGGAAATGTACAGGCTTTTAGGAGTATACAGATTAAACTCCACTGCTCTGATGTTATTGAATTAAAAGTCATCTACACTACCGGTTTTAAAATATTGACATCAATAACATTGAGATAGAAAGAAGAAATACATAAATATGGCAAACAACAGGAATTGAGGCAGATTCCCACAAAGGGAGACAGAAAAGAAATAGGAAATTTATGAAGCCAAAATTAGACAGCCCGCATTAACATCCAGGTTCTGTTATTTGACTGGTTATCACGTGTGTGACCTTCAGTGAGTCATGTGGTCTCTCAGAGCCTGTGTTCCTAATCTGCAAAAATGATGGGGAAACATTGATCTTGCAAGATTATTATGAAAATTAAAAGTTTAATCACTCATTATAACAATAAATATTATAAATAAAAATACATATTGATGGAAAGTGATGATTCATCCCATAAGTAACACATAGAAATAAATTCTATTTGTTGATTAGAATATGCAATAATATTCTGTAAGTATGTACATGTAATAATTCCAAGGAGTAAGTATATATATGAAAATAATGGAAATGAAAGGAATAACAGTAACTAAAATGTAAATGTCAGTTTTGTGTAGGATCTTCTTAAAAGTAAGAAATTACTTTCTTAAACTATGCATTTTTATAAATGGGCATAAATAGACATTCCATCTTTCCTGTGGACATTTTAATAGCAGAGGAACTGAATAGACTATTTCTCAATTTAACTGCTACTATTTATGTGCAAGTCGGGGAGGTGGAGCTTCTTTCTAAGGTTGATTAGTTACAAATAAGCAATGACTTCTTATAATACAAATAGAACTGTGAAGGGATTAGCCAAAGAAGAATCCATAACCCATACACACAAACAACAATGTGGAGACGGCCAGAGGAAAGGGGGTGGAGGCTGGATGGAGGTGGGCAAGTCGGGGGGAACATCTGAAAAAACAATTGAGTTGTCTGAAAGCCAGTATCAATCCATCTCCCTCTGAAAGAATAAGATTAAATGATACTGGTGGTTGTATCAAATGACATTTTTCCCATTGCAAGCAATACTTTATCTCACGAACTTTGTATATATTAATTTTAATTCTATTTCTAGATTTATTAGAAGAGAAATAAAACAAAAACATTGTCTATACCTCCTTTCTGCTAGCCACTTACCATCGACTAAATTATATTATGGAATTACCCCAAAAGCCCTCTGAAAGCATCATTGATCTTCTTGTTTTCAGAAGGAGAAAACCGAGGCACAGAAAAGTGCCCAACGTCACACAGCCAGCAAACACTGAACCTGGAAGTCACTCCCAGCTCTTGAGGACTCCAAAACCCACATTCCTTCCCTACATCATATTCCTTAAGGCCATATTTATTATTAGTTCCAAGAATGCCCATGACGTACATTATGGAGGCATTTTCTTCCCATGATCTGAACCAGACCTCGTGAAGGAGAAGCCTGGAAGTCAACTCGCAGAGGCCTCACCCCAGGAAAATAACTCAAATCTGAATCTGAACTCACATGTGACTGAGGGTGTATGACTGTGTGGGGGTGTTGTGTGTGTGCCCGCGTGTGAGCTCCAGAGGGCCTGTGGGATGGCTGGCGGGGCAGTGGATGGGAAGAGGCAAGTGTGCTTGGAGGGAAAAGGAGAAATGAGAATGACATGCCAACAGAAAAGTTCAGACTCAGAAGGAAAACACATATGACCCCTGGAACAAGTTCTGGATGGCTCTTGCCCTGTGTGACATTGGACTAACTCTCAATTCGGTTCTCTTCCATGTAAGCAGGATATTTTCCAATACTACCATCTTTCCCTTAGTCCTTGTTCAGAATTGCATTGATACAGCAAGAAACATCAACAAATCTTTTTTATTGAAACTGCCAAAACTACTTTGTTCAAATAATGCCTCATTTTCTTCCAGCTATTCCACACAGTTGACACCAGTATTTTAATTGTCACACACCTTTTCTTCTTAATCATTCTGTATCTCAGGTACTTCAAAGAGTAACATATCCATCATCTAAACAGATAAAAAAAATGAAAGAATGGAAAGGAAGACAGGCTAAAGATAATAACCACTTTTTTTTCATGTTGACTAAAATACAGTTGTAAGAGAACCTCTACTAGTAGGAATATTCCATTAGCTGGAAAATTGGTGACATAATTTCAGAAGACAGAATTATATAACCATAAAACAATCTGATGAATAAGCAGTTGGAAGAATATCTTACACTTCTACATCTATAGTTGTATAAAATGGAAAACATTGTTTGAAATGACATTCAGACAGTCCAAGATACTGAATCAGCTACTAAAGACTAAGTTTTACTTTTAAAAACAGAGAATTGGAAAATGCACTTAGAAATACTCTTAAACAAAGTTAAACAATTTAATTACCAATGTTTTCTGGCTGATTAAGGGTTACTGATATACTCTTGAATGATCCCTTTTAAATTTTCATCACAAACAGATTTTAAGCAAGAGCCATATTTTGCAACTAATTTAATAACTCATTAAAAAATTTACAAAGCCATCTACATCTATAATAAAATTTGGAATGATATAATACATTTATAAGTGTTTTGAAATCATAAGGCACAATAAATATAAGCCACTATTATTGCTAGCCATTCACTCACTACAGAGATTTCCTTTCATTTCCCCATTCCTCACACTGTTGACCTCACTGGTGACTTTTTTTAGAGGAAATTATCCATATCTTTCCCTAGAAGGAGTTAATAAAAACACTAATCCCTGAGGTGACCACAAATTTGGGAATGCAGCATGCAGCCTTTCCTTGTGGCGTATTTTCCTGTAGCTGCTGGCATCGGAGACACATCCGTGGTGGAGCAGGAAGCAACACTTCACTTTATAAACTTTGCGGTGCCCAAATAAATAACATAAGCTACCGCTAAATCTTGATATTATACCAGAGACATTTTTGAGTCAATTGATGTTAACAGGCATGCTCTCTCTCCCCAGATCAGGCTCACTCTTGGTGGGTCCCAACCTCCCAGGAGGTAGGGAGTTCTGCAATAGCTGAGCCAACTCCAAGTTCAAAAAAAGGGGGAGGGGAGAAGAAAGGAAGGAAGGAAGGAAGGAAGGAAGGAAGGAAGGGATGAAGGAAGGAAGGAAGGAAGGAAGGAAGGAAGGAAGGAAGGAAAGGAAGGAAGGAAGGAAGGAAGGAAGGAAGGAAGGAAGGAAGGAAGGAAGGAAGGAAAGGAAGGAAGGGGGGAAAGGAAACCCATGATCCTCCTCCAAAACTGGGGTCGGGGCTCTTACTTTCATCTTTACAGCTAGTCAGTGACAACCCTGTACTGCATCTCCTCTACAATGCTATACAAAACAACAAACAAACAAACAAACAAACAAACCCACCCATGCTCTTAGCCTGGGGCATTGGGCTCTCCTGGTGGCTATGTCCATGGACCTGGCATTTGACCTCTTTCCCTACTTTGATCCTGTACTTTGCTTGTTTACGTTCTTTGCTTGGCTAATTGTGGCGAGGGTGGGGAAGATGTACCTAAGGATTTAAAAATTAATCTAGGAGTTGAAGAAACCATTCAGTAAGTTACTCTACTTTTAATGTAAAACTGAGGAAAAATACTGTTTACACTTACAGTAGTATTTTAATAAAACAAAACAAAAGGAAACTAGAAAAACAAAAATAAAAACACTTGGCATTTCACACCCAGGAATTTTCCTTGTGCGGTAACGATTTAGCAGCCGGGCCCATTTGTCACTAAGTTTGCCGTTACTGATTTTTTTCCCGTAGTAAAAAAAATGGTTATGACTCACTTTAGGAGCACACCAAATGCTACAGGAAAATTCATTCTAGTTTTATCCAAACCAGCAGTGAGAATAATTTATGATAGACAAGTAGAGTCAGTTTAGGAAAGTGAGTCATTTTTATGCAAATGAATTCTAGCTTTCCTGATTGCCATCTCCTTTTAAACGTTGGAGTTTCTAGGGTGGTGGTTGGGGTGGGGAATGAATTATTGTGGTAAACCAACAGTTCCGCTTGTTGACTGTGGAATATTTAAAGCACAGCTTAATATGCAACATGTGAAAGGGTCAAGAGAATAGAGCTTAATTTGTATTTCCATATGATTCAATCAAATTCAAAATGCTATTTATTTATAGAAAAGAAGAGATCATTAGAGTATGCCATTCCAGGTCTCCAGATTTTCCAAATTTATTATGAAAATTATCTTTTCCACAACCATCAAAATAGATTATTTG